AAAGATCCACTGCTACAACTACAATGTGTCTTTCAATAATAAAGCTGATGACTTTAAAAAAAAAAAAAGCAATCTCAGACCCCTGCTTTGGGGTATTGGTTGCATGGTCCAGATTGCACCAACGTTTATTAGAAGTCCCCAGCACAAACACAAATATAACTGATGACCCATAAAAGAAATTGTCCTTTGCCCTCTCTTGGATAAATCTACATACAGTCCCGTGGTATTTCTTAAAATGAATGAGAGAGACTTCTTATCAACTGTCATGTCATGTCACACCTTTTCCAGCAGGGCACTGGGGGTCTCTTTCTGGCTTTACATTAGTGAAGAGTTGCCTTGCTCTTAGCAATTGTAACCCAGAGGCCAGCTCTTTAAACCTTGTATAAAAATTCCATTTGAGATCAAGAAGATTAAAAATTGTAGCAAGGCTGATTCCCATATAGGCTGGTTCTCTCACAGCAATGACAATGCACAGAGCATCAGCCAGTCTCAGGGAAGTATAAGCCACAACTGAATATCTACCCTTTGACATCATGGAATTATTCAGCAAGTGGACTGACTGTGCCCTGTATTCCTTAATAGCATCCCAGGCTGCCTTCCACTCCCTGGGGATCTACACCCAAACCTCATTCTGCAAGTCAGACATGCCAAGAAGAAACCCAGGTACCACTAGGAGCACTAGCCTTTTTCCTCCTCAGCAATCCAACCTGCGCCTGTATTGTGCCACCAAATTTGACAGAATAGTCAGAAAGAGACACAGAAATCAGTCCAGAGACCATGACTTTCAGAAACCACCTCACCCTATTCCATGACAGATGGGCAATCATCACCCATGACTACACCATCCAATTCCACTCGTTATTCCCTGCCTGTTTTTGCTCCTCAATTAAGGTAGTATTTTTATTAAAACCCTATAGCATACAATTTGCATATAATTTTGTTAGTATAAAGGTGATTTTTACCTCGTGCAGGGCCAGATTAAGGCATGGGCTAGCTGGGTAGCTGCCCGGGGTGCCAACCTGTGGGGGGTGCCTGATGGCAGCTGTAAGGGGAGCACTCCTGGGCTGCAGCAGCTCCAAGCAGCCACCCTGCAGTGGCCGCTCGGGGTGGGAGCCGCGTTAACCCCCGCAGTGCCGGCCAGCAGCGCCCTTCCCCCACGGCCACGGGGCCCTGCACGGCCTGGCTTGGCTCGCACCGGGCTGTGCGCCAGCGGCAGTAGCCAGGCTGGGCTGGGCACATGCGTCCTGCCGCTGCCAGCTCCGCATGCCCTCTAGCACGCGCCAGGCAGGGGCAGGGCCATGCATTCATACCTCCCCCACTTGCCGATGCGGGACGGTGCATGCGCCCTCCCCCAACCCGGGGCGCAATTAAACTGTCTGCCCGGGGCGCCGGAAGGGCTCGGTCCGGCCCTGACCTCATGTGTCTTATTTTTCTAATTTTAGTGGGGAAAGTTTGCCTCCTTTAATTAGTTTAATGTCATAGTCCTCTGAAATGTAAGATGAATTAAACACACAGATTGTTTCCTAATTCACATGAAGGTTACAATGCCAGCTAATCTTCACGTCTTGTATGTTACATTTTATTTCTGTTGTGGAGAGAGAAGGAAGCAGAGCTGAGGCAGTTGGTTTGAGAAGGCTGTATATAGGACTCTTGAGTTATTGGAGCAACTGCCATCAAAGAAAGAATCCAGGCTAAGCAACCAGTGCCAATAAGTAAACAGTGGCATTTTAAAATGTATAGTGTGTCTTCCGGCTGGGAGCTGCCTGACAAATATTTATTATTTGGTTAAACAAAGAGTAATTAAGCTTGTAAAAACAAAGTAATTGTGACCTCCTCCAGCTGAGCTCAGCAGGGTCTAGTCAGAGCTTCCTCCTGAAAGTCTGAGTCACTGTAAGAGACAATGAGCCAGTTTTCCCTCCCTGCCCTCCTCTCCTGTCTCTTTTTTAAATACAGTAAACTTCCGATAATCCAGCACCTTTAGGACCCAGGGGGTGCCGGATTATCAGATATGCCGGACTATCAGAAGGGGGAGTTATGAGGGGTCTGGAGTGGGGTGGGAGGGGATGCCACCCCAGACCCTTCATAGCCCCCCCTTACGATAGTCTGGCTCTGCCCCAGGCGTCCCTGATTCAGCCGCTGCTGGTCAGTTTCAGCAGCAGCTGAATCGGGGGTGCCTGCAATAGAGCAGCTGTGGTGCTGCCGGGTTGGTCCCACAGCACCGAGGGGCGGAGCTACGGCACCAACCCCCAGCTTCCCAGATTCAGCTGCTGGTCAGTTTCAGCAGCAGCTGAATGGGGGAAGCCTGTCCGGCTGCCCCAACACTTCCGGGTTCCTGATGGTGCCGGACCATCAGGAGTCCTGGAGCATTGGATGCCAGACTAATGGAGTTTTACTGTACCATGAGCAATCGTGTTCAGCACAAAGATTATTAAAAAAAACTCTTAAGAATTCAGACAACATACTTCTGCCTTTCTATAAAGATGTTTCAACTGCATGTATTTGTGTCAAACATGGGAAAAGTTCACAGAACTACTTGTACATACATAACATTATTACAGCAGATTAGTTTATGGGCCAAATGTATCATTATTGTTAACAATGACACTTTACACTATAATGTCAAATGGATTTCAATTTCACCTCTAAAATTTCCACACTTAGGTTTTTGAGTGCCCCAACTCAGATTAGTGAGCATAAATAAAATTTGTAAGAGCCAAAAACTAAGTAATTTATTTGCTCACAAACTGGAGTTTTAGTATGGCAAAGATTTAAATGAAGAAAAGGCCCCTCTGCAGTTTTAGAAGCCTCTTTTAAAAATGTGTCTAAATAAGACATTCTGTACTACTAATTTACCTGTTTTAAATGAGTTTATTTATTAAGCTGGTGTTAAGTTTAAGTCAAGACGCAGAGTGTCTTAGTTCACTCTGTAAAAAGAGTGATGAAGTTAAATTGAAACAAACCTGAAAATAGTGTGTCCATACACAATCTTGTTCCTGTTTAATAAACAGATTTTAAGTATACCTTTAATTAAACCAGTGCAAGTTTGTGCAGACAAAACTGTGGCCCAATTCAGGAAATCACTTAAACGTGGTTAAGTGTAATTGTGTGTGATGTCCCATTCAATAGGGCTACTACTCATGTTCTTAATGCTAAACACTTGCTCAAATGCCATGCTAGATCAGGGCCTCTTTAGGCTACAATCGGGGATAAAGATGCTAGTGCAAACTTATGGCACAGCCTGCAAAGATTTTCCCTAAACTGACTTTCTCTGGGGATTTTATTATGACTTCATTTTCTCTTACATTGTTATATATACACAATGCCAAAAATTAACTTGCCTTGTGCAAAATACGGAAAGAGTTGAAGTCCACTCCATACGAAGATTCCAGTCTAATTATGGGTACGTCTAGATGACAGAGCTCTGCTGCGTCCAAAGAATGCATAGAATAATAGAGCTGGAAGAGACCTCAGAAGGTTATCAAGTCCAGCTCCCTGCCCAAGGCAGGACCAATCCCAACTAAATCAACCCAGCCAGGGCTCTGTCAAGCCAAGACTTAAACACCTCTAGAAATGGAGATTCCACCACCTCCCTAGGTAACCCATTCCAGTGCTTCACCACCCTCCTAGGGACATAGTTTTTCCTAAGATCCAACCTGGACCTCCCCCACTGTAAGTTGAGACCATTGCTCCTTGTTCTGCCATCCTTCAGTACTGTGAACAGCCTTTCCCCATCCTCTTTGGAACCTCCCTTCAGGAAGTTGAAGGCTGCTATCAAATCCCCACTCACTCTTCTCTTCTGCACACTAAACAAACCCAAATCCCTCAGTCTCTCCTCATAGGTCATATGCTCCAACCCCCTAATCATTTTGGTCGCCCTCCGCTGGACCCTCTCCAATGCGTCTACATCCTTTCTATAGTGGGGGGTCTGGAACTAGACACAATACAGGCAGTCCCCGGGTTACATGGATCCGACTTACATCGGATCCCTACTTACAAACGGGGTGAGGCAACCACGCACTAGCTACTTCCCCCCAGCAGACCAGGGAGACGCGAAGCTAGTGCCCACCCCCAGCAGACCAGGGAGACGCGGAGCGGCTTTTCTCAGCAGACACCTCAACTTGAGAATAAAGGACTGAGGGAAGTGAGGTGTGGGAGAATAAAACTGAGCTCTGGAGAAATGTTTGGCTAGAGTTTCCCCTACAATATGTACCAGTTCCGACTTACATACAAATTCAACTTAAGAACAAACCTACAGTCCCTATCTTGTACGTAACCCAGGGACTGCCTGTACTTCTACTTAGTAGTATTGAAAGGCCTCTAAAGGATAGGAACCTTATTGTACTAGGTGAAGCACAAACATAGATAAAGGCAGGGCCTGATCTAAAGAGCATATGGAATAAAAAGACACAAATGGAAGGGACTAAAAAGACACAAATGGAAGGGACTCAGGCAGCTGTTCAAATCATAATAGACCAAATCTAGTAGACTACAGTATAAGACCCGATGGGTCTGAGCTGCAGACCAGTCTACAATCATTCTGTACACACCATAAACTTAGATTTATATTTTGTTGTGTAAACAGTATCCCGTACAGTCCGGGACTCAACACATTTAAGCTAACTCCCACTGACTACTTAATATTATCTCAAGCTTCTGTGGCACTTGAACTTCAAACCTGCCCAGCCCTTACCCAACATATCAGCTAGCGCAATGATAAAGCCACAGCCACTCTGAGCTAGAGATTTGTGCAAGTGGATGGGGGTGAGATAGAGTGAACATTCAAGTTATATCTCAAACTAACAATGCTGTGGCAACATATCCTATTAGTCTATGGGTTCAATCTTGAAAGGTACTAAAGCAGAACAAACCTCTGAGTACTCAGCACTGTTAGGCTTAGCCCTAAAATAGATACAACCAATTCAGTTCAGACATGGGCTACATTCAGTAGGATCAGTATCACTGCACTGAGGAAGGGGTTGTTTGGACAGGCTTTGCTCTGGAGGCACAGGTAAATACAATGGCGGTGGCCTACGAGAGGCTAACCCTGGCAAACCACCTCTGTTTTATTTGTTAGATAATGCATTTTTCTGCCTTGGCTCCTTGTGATTCACTTTAGATAAAACCTCAGAAAATCCACACTGTGGGAGTCTAAACTATTTTATCTGATGGCACTGAAAGCCTCATATTTACCTTTCTGCATTCTCAGCTATCCAATTAAGATTATTCAGTAGACTATTTGCATAGACAAAATTTGCTGCTTGATTCCTATTCAAATGAGTAGAACAGTTATACTCAGTCATTCTGGAGAAATACATTAACTGGATGCGTCTGGTATCACCAGCAATTAACAGTTTGTTATTTAAATGGTCGCAATTATATTAAACATTAGAGTTAACACCTATTAAGATTCATAATGAATTCCCCACTAGTGATCAATCCATTATGCGAAAAGAGCATAATCACCAGAATCTGTGGATTCCAAGGCCTTGGATACAATATGCAAAAAAAGTATTCCAAACAAACACTCAGAACATACATCAATTTCCAGCAAAGAAAGTGGTTCATTGTATACATGTTTGGCAGAAGCAAAGTGGATTAGAGAGGGGTCCTTAAAGACACCCATGCATAGCCACAAGGGCTTATTTGTTTAACGTAACAAATGGATAAACATAATAAACGAGTTCACAGACATTGTACTTAAAATGGCACTTTTCCCTCCCCCTTTGAAGAAAATAAACAGAACCTCTGCTTTCTTCGACTCACACTTCGTTTGCCTCAGCTGTCCATACCTTGGCATTATTCCAGACTCTCATCATTCCTCATCTTTCTTTCACTTTGCCTTTGTTTGCAGCTCTGCCTCTCACCCCCGCCACAACACTGCCTTCCTTACCCTTGAGCTTCATTTCCATCCATGCCTTCATTTTCCCTTGCTAGGAGTATTGCAACCGCCTTCTCTTTGGACTCTTTAAATCCAGTCTCCTCAGATGCCAGCAAGTGCAGAATGCCTTTACATTTTTTCTCAGGCATACAAAAACTGTGAACATCAAACAATGCTATTGGCTTCTTGTGTATTTCAGGACCCATGTAAAAATTGTGCTTATTTTAAAACCACCAATTAATTTATTTCATCCCAGTTCACTGACTTTGCCTTTTTCCACTCTCTCCTCTTTTCCCTCCATTTACCAGTGATTTCCTTCATCTCCCTCAGACAGTATCAATGTGCCCTCTGGAGCAGGGCTTGGCAATCTATGGCTTGTGCAGGCCCGGCTGTAGGGCAAGGCGAGCAAGGCCGTTGCTTTGGGCCCTGCCCTTCAGGGTGCTTACTTGCTACCCTGGCTGGGAGCCATCCGGCCACGCAGTGCAGCCAGCCACCACCACATGCCACCTTGGACCCCACAAACTCTTTGTTTGGGCCTTTGAGCCATATATAGCTCACTTAGGCTCGAGCTCAGCCCCCCACCCCAAAATGAAGAGCCCATGCTTGGGATCCAGCCTCATGCCCTTGCAAGACTGGAGCCGAAGCCAGCGCCACCTTCCTGCGGGGGAGGGTGGAGAAAGCTCTGAGCCTTGCTGTGTGATCGGGGAAGAAGCCGGAGCCACAAATGGCTCTGTGTGCGCACATGATCCTCTTCCCACTCCCCTGGTTAGAGGAACAAAGCAGCGACAGACGTGCTGCCTGGAGACTTTTCCTGCAGCTTCATTGGCCAGAATTCAGCCAATGGAGCAGCAGGAAGCCATGCCTGCTGGGACAGGAAGCCTGTGAACAGCGCAATGGGCAAAAGCAGACCTGGCTGCCATCTTGCTCTGGAAGGACCCATTGCTGCCATGGCTGTGTCCCCGCTGCTCCCGTGCACTGCTCCACGCCCTGCCTCACACTGCTGGCGTGTGCTGTGCACTCGCACCCGTCGGAGAGCCTCATGGGGCCATTGGAGTCTGTCATCAGCCTAAGCACCTTCTTCTTAATGCCGACAGGCTGCATCCTGGCCAGCCTGGAGAGATACAAGAAGCATGACTGAGAGGGCTCCTGCCTCCTCCCCTCTGGCCAGACACCTACCCCCAGCCCACTCCTGCCCCCTTCATCCTGGCCAGATACCCACCTGCACCCTCCCTCTGGCCAGACACCTACTCCCAGCCTGCTCCTGCACCCTACCTCCCACCCAGATCCTGTACCCCATTCTCATCCCACTCACTGGCAGCTCTGTCCTGCACACAGGATCCCTCATTTTTGGCCTCACCCCAGAGTCTAGGGGGACCCATAAAATCCATTAACTCTGGAACTCCAGAAGAGTTAATCTGGCCTGATGCCTTGAACCTCAGTCTTCCCTGCCCTCCCCTTTCCCCCGCAATCCATTGGGCTGGAGCACCAGGGGAGTGAGGTATCTCAGTTGGGAGCCACAGCAGTGAGGGTTGGGGGGTTTTGTAGGGTTTTTTTTTCTCACTTGTGTCGTCCTCAATTGATTTTTCTGTGGGTCAGTGACCCCGAACTAAAAAAGGTTTCCCACCTCTCCCATAAATAAGACAAGTTGAAACCTTCTGTGTTGGACATATTATTTTACTTTCTTTAAAAATGAAGCCTGGCCAACAAGGCCCCAATTGGGGCCCAGCCCCCATCTGGCTGCAGCATCATAACACTCCTGCACACACCCACACACACCAACCCTGAGCCCATCATACACCTGAGCCCCCTGCCCTGAGTCCCTCATACCCTCACATCCCCATGCTTCTGCATTCCTACATCCTCAGCCCCCTGCCATAACATTTCTGTACCCCACGTACCCCAACCTTGTGCCCTGAACCCATCATACCCCTAAACCCACTGCCCTGAGTCTCTCATACACACCAGCCTAGATTCCTGCACCCCCACATCCACAACCCCTGCCCTAAGACTGACAGAAGACAACCTGAATGTGTACATGAAGCTGGATGTGACCAATGATGATGTAAACATCAAAGAAATGTGGGAAAAGATGCAGCAGCAAAAGTCCCATTAAATAAAGCCTGTGAATACAATGTTTACTTTATACTGTTATTAATCATCATGATGTCAGTTATTAGTAATATTAATTTGTACATTTTCAATTATGAAAATGGGCCTTTTTATATGGCTCTTTGTTGATCGCCTGTTCTGAATTTTGATGTAGTTTGGCTCTTTGGTTTGAAAAGGTTGCCAACCCTTCTTTAGAGCTGCCTAGAACCTGCTACCATGTTGCTCAATGATTCACCATCTTATTTCAAATGCTGCTTAACTTCATCCATTTGTGAGACTAACAAATGCTGCAAACCCAGTAGAGATAGCATGTGTGTGCAGGTCACACAAAGCCAAATGGAATCATCGGTATTGTTTTAAAATAGTTATTTGAGAGAGAGAGAGAGAGCTACCTGTTGGAGATACCCTGAAATCTGCAAACAGACGCTTTGAGACAGAGCATTAAACACTCATCAGTTTTGCTAGAGCAACATATTCCAGATTTCTTTTAAATTCCGCAGGAAACACCCATCTCAAAACATAAACATTCCTGTAAGCCAACCCCTCAAATGATTAGATTTCCCCTGAACTCTAAGGCCTGCTCCTAAAAGCACTTCTCAATCATTAAATGCTTCCCTACTAACAGTTCCACACAAGCTACAGGGGTGGTCTCCAACCTTTTTAAGCATGAGATCACTTTTTGAATAAGTGCAATCCAAGATCTACCTCAAACCCAAATACCCTTCCCTCCCCTTTGTGCCCCTTCTCTGAGGCTTTGCCCCTGCTCACTCCATCCTCCCCCATCTTCCTTCACCAGGCAGGGGCAGTGGGTTGGGGTGCAGGCTCTGGTCTTGGATTAAGGGATCTAGCGTGTGAGAGAGGCTCTGAGCTAAGCTTGAGGCAGGCCGTTGGCATGCCTGATGGGGTTCTAGGTGTAGGCTCTGGGAGGGTGTTTGGACGCAGGCATGCTCCAGACTGGGAAGGGGCTTGGGATACAGGAAGAGGGTTCATCACTGGGGCAGGGTTTCAGGATGTGGATTCTGACTGGGCACCACTTACCTCAGGTGGCTCTTGGGTGGTGGTGCAGTGGGGCTAAGGCAGGATCACCCCTGCCCTGGCCCTGCACTACGCCCAAAAGCAGCCAGCAAACTCCCTCCCAAGTCCTGTTGTGCCCCCTCTTGGCTCTGTGGAGGTAGGATACAGGGTGGGGAGCACCTTGACATCAGCACCCTCCTCTCTCTCCCCTGCAGGAGGCTACCAGGGGTGGGAAGAGGCAGTTCCAAGACAGGTGCCCAGCAGTAGGGAAGCTGAAGTGCCAGCCTCTTGGCCAAACCAGTCAGGATCAGCTGTCAGAGGCACCAAGATCTACCAGTCGATCCCGATGGAGGGGTCGGTGACCCCTGCACTACGGTGCCTGAGGCGGGTTGTCCCGAGGGGGCCGCAGGCGGGTGGGTGCCTGAGGGCCGGTGTAGCGAGCAAAACACTAACTTCTCAGAATTTGCTACTTTGGGTGCACTGAGCATGCGCACCCGAACTGAGCAAACTCAGTGTCCCTCGCTGTAGCCGCTGCCCTCTCTCTGCCCTCACTGCCTCCTCAGATTTGCTTCCTCCTCTTCGGAGGTGTTTAAAATGATGAAGGGGGGCAAATTGCAGGGGGGGGGTGTCAGGTTCTGAGCATGGGGCAGAAATTTACCGGCTGGAGGCATCAATCTTCTTTTTTTAGCTGCAGAAGAGGGGCGAAATTTGAAAAATCGGGGGATGGGGGGTGGTAGCCTTGGTTAAGCCCGGGCGGGGGCACACTGCCAGACCCTGTACGCTGACAAAAACCCCGTTTACGGAGGGGGAAAGGTGGGGA